GTTCTGTATATGTGTTTTATATGTTACTAGCGGATGTACCCGGCTTCGCCCGGGTTTTACCCGAGTAAAGGTTTGTCCAACGAACATTTGTTAAAACAATTCTCTATAAACTTATAAAAAAAGATATATTTTGATAATTTGAAACTCGTAAATTTGAATCTCTCGATAAAGTGAACATTTTTTTCCCGGTCCCTTGAAAAATACTCGATAAGTTGAATAAAATCAATATTAATTGGTTCCCTCGGTAATTGGAAGTTAAAGGAATAGAATCTTGCCTTGGAATTGTATCATTATTCTTGTCTCAAATAAATTGCCGTGTCATCCTGAATTTTGTCTTTCCTAATTTTCTACATTACAAAATCATCGTTTTATCCATTGAACATTTTTTCCCGGTCCCTTGAAAAATACTCGATAACTAACTTTGACTTGTGCGCAATTAATAGTTAGAAAATCTTACTTTTGATAAATAATCTTTAAAATAATAAACTTAATGATAATAAAACTTATAGATAAAAAAACTTGTTAACATCGTCGCAATGGGGGCGCTGCTTGCGAGTTAAATCTACAAATCTGCAAATAACTCTAAGGGTATTCAAGATATTCAAGAAATTATTTTTCAGAAACCTTCCCAGTACTATATCAAATAACTTCCCAAATTTGATGGCGTTCCAATGAGTGGTTTGGTCAGGCTTAAAGGACACACATACACACACACACATACATTCATTTATATCTATACTAGACGAATGGCCCGGGCAACGCCCGGGGTTTACCCGATTGCGAATATATTTTAAAAACGTTGACTTGGGTGGTCGCTATTAACAGGGTGGTCTGTATAGACAGGTGGATGTATCACACAGCTGATAACAGGGTTGTCTAGAGTGGTCGCTATAGACAGGGTGGTCTGTATAGACAGGTGGATGTATCACACTGCTGATAACAGGGTTGTCTAGAGTGGTCGCTATAGTCAGGGTGGTCTGTATAGACAGGTTTATGAGAGAGGCAAACTTACAGGTTGTTGACGCCGCAATCCCCAGAGAGAGTGTTTTTTGTTGCATCATGCTGTGACTCACACGATGACCCAAGGTCAACAGGGGTGGAGCAGCAAGCTTAAGCCTATCACCGTCTGGCGGCGCTGCTTGCGAGTTATATCTACAATTCTGCAAATAACTCTAAGGATATTCAAGATATTCAAGAAATTATTTTTCGAAAACCTTTCCGGGGATATACCTAATAATATCCCAGAATTTAATGGCGATTGGATGTATGGTTTCTGAATAACAGGGTTGTCTAGAGGGGGGCAGGGAGGACACGTGTTCCCTGGCAGCCAATGAGCGCGCATTCTATCCGTGAGCTTCAGACAAACAGACAGAATAAGGCAAATATATAAGTAGATATATATATAGATAGATAATATTAGGTTGAAAAAGGCATCTCCTTATCGTGCAACTGAAAGTTGCTGATCGCTTGCGCCATCTATCGGAATAAATATCAACTATTTAGAAAAAGGCATCTTCTTATCGTGTAACTGAAAGTTGCTGATGGCTTGCGCCATCTATCGGAATAAATGTTGATATTTATTCCGATAGATGACGCAAGCCATCAGCAACTTTCAGTTGCACGATAAGGAAATGCCTTTTTCTAAATAAATGAACCTTATCCCAGTACAATATCACAGTTGTACTATTTTTTCACATTAGGTTGAATGTTATACTATTCGGTTCCAAAATCACTTTATTGGGTACCGCTCAAAAAGAACGAGCTATTTCTTCAAAATAAAGATACTTCGGCCAGTAAATCTTTTTATTGTCTCGACGTTTCGCCAAAAATCTTTTGTCCTCGTCAGGAGCAAACAAAAATTAAAACATTAGGCAAAGCGTTAGAAATTATAGTTTCAACTTAGTTTATGATATTTATAACAAATAATAATATAAAAAGAAAGGATTTAAAAGCACGAATGTTTCTTTTATACATAATACAAACTCTACTGTCCTTACTGCGATGGAAAAATATATTGGGAGAGCTTTGTTCATCAGAGGTGAACCCTCCCAGCGAATTCGCCAATTTAATCTACCAGACCGTTTCTTAGAGCTCTAATACTGTATTGGATCATTCTGTTTATATTTAAATGTAATTCTACTGTCCCTATAAGCTTATGTCCATAGTTTACTTAAATACCATTTCTAAGTTACCATCCTTCAGTGTAACATATATAAACAGAATGATCCAATACAGTATTAGAACTCTAAAGAAGCGGTCTGGTAGATTAAATTGGCGAAACCGCTGTGAGGGTTCACCTCTGATGAACCAAGCCCTCCCAATATATTTTTTCATCGCAGTAAGGACAGTAGAAGTTTGTATTATGTATAAAAGAAACATTCGTGCTTTTAAATCCTTTCATTTTATATGTATAGATGGCGTGTTATTGCTTTGTGTTAATGGATAATACATGTGAAGGTTATTCACATATTAAAACAAAGAGTACAACACGGGATTCAATCGCGGTTCAAGGCTGTCGGGAATCAAGGGTGTTACCTACTCGTCCACCGACATTTCTAACTGAATAATATAAATATTGGAAACTATTATAAACGTTTATATAAAAGGGCATACCTAGATCTAAAGAGACAAGAGTCGCCTCTCCCGTCAAAATAGACGTCTAAAACCAGACACCATCTATTGTACGTCGCCGTAACTAGCGGCCTCGGGTCGGTAACAAAGCCACAACACCAGCTTTGGTAAACTGAGAAGTGTCCACCTAGAGACCATGGTTTCTAGCTAATGGCCCTCGTCAGTCTAGGGCGGACTTTATTCCATGAGATCCACACGGGATCTTATGGAATCTTGACAATCTACCAAAGAGGTGTTTAGCTGGCAAAGTGGCTGGGTCATATCTATGGCTAAAATATATATGGAAACCTAGATCTGTAAAGAATGACTGTACCATAAATTGATAAAGAGGGAGAAATATCTCGAAATATTTTTAGAAATCTTTTTTTTTTTCTTACAGATCCAGCTATGCCATTTTATATAAACCTAATTAATGGATTGTCTTTTGATTCAAACTGTTATAAACGTGAAAAAAAAAATAGTACAAATGTGATATTGTACTGGGAAAAGGTGCATAAATTATGAAAAAATACATCTCCTTATCGTGCAACTGAAAGTTGCTGATGGCTTGTGCCATCTATCGGAATAAATATCAACTACTAGACGTAAGGCCCGGGCAACGCCCGGGGTTTACCCGAGTGCGTATATATTTTAGAAATGTTTTAATTAAAATACTATTCGTTACAATTATAAATTGGCGCCGTGGAAGTCTCTCTTGTGAAACTTCCCGCCCCAAACTGTGTGTGGCTTGAAAATATAAATTTAGAATTGTGGATTTTCATAAAGCGTGGTCGCTATAGTCAGGGTGGTCTGTATAGACAGGTGTATGTATCACACTGCTGTTAACAGGGTTGCCTAGAGTGACCGCTATAGACAGGGTGGTCTGTATAGACAGGTGAATTTATCACACTGATGATAACAGGGTTGTCTAGAGTGGCCGCTATAGACAGGTGGATGTATCACTCAGCTGATAACAGGGTTGCCTAGGGTGACCGCTATGACAGGGTGGTCTGTATAGACAGGTGGATGTATCACTCAGCTGATAACAGGGTTGTCTAGAGTGGCCGCTATAGACAGGTGTATGTATCGCACAGCTGATAACAGGGTTGTCTAGAGGGGGGCAGGGAGGCCACGTGTTCGCTGGCAGCCAATGGGCGCGCATTCTATCCGTGAGCTTCAGACAAACAGACAGAATAAGGCAAATATATAAGTAGATTCTAGTTGATTTTTAATTATTCCAGAATTGACCAAGCTTTTCTTGATTAATCAAGAATGGATATTTGGCCAATTCTGGAATAATTGAAAATCGACGAGAATAGTTGATATTTATTCCGATAGATGGCGCATGCCATCAGTAACTCTCAGTTGCACGATAAGGAGATGCCTTTTTTCTTTTATCATAAACGTGTATGATTCTCTTTTTCTAAAATTTAAACTCCAATTAAACTGGCGAAACCGCTGGGAGGGTTCACCACTGATGAGCCAGGTCCTTCCATTAATTTTTCCATTGCAGTAAGGACAGTAGAAATTGTTTAAATTTTAAAAAGAATATTACACGTCTATAATAGTTTCTAATTTCCATAACAGATGGCGCGCTAATGTAACAGAAGATAAAATTTTTCTTTTTAAGTTGATGAATCATAAATTCAACTTATAAATTCAATATTGTCATTTATCGATAGATTTGTAACAATTAAATTTACTGATAATTGTGTTTTTAATCCAACCCAGTTTATAAAATACTTTTATCTGAATTTGTACAGAGATTTTAACATCTGTGATATAACATCGAAAAATGCAATATAACAGCGGTATGGTAGATTAAACTGGCGAAACCGCTGAGAAGGTTTATCACTGATGAGCCAAGTATTCCCATTAATTTTTCCATTGCAGTAAGGACAGTAGAAATTGTTTTATTTATTAAAAGAATCATACGCGTCTATAATAGTTTAGAATTTACACTAATGTGTTATAATACCTTGATAAAGGTTTTTCAGTCAACTGAAATATTGGTAAATAAATGATATTTTGATCCAATATATGTCTTTTTATTATGATACATTAGCCCGTCATCTGTTATGAAAATTCGAAACTATTATAGACACGTATGATTCTTTTAAAAAAAATAATTTCTACTGTCCTTAGTGTAATGGAAAAATTAATATCCATATATGTTCATAGTTCATCTAAAATACCCATTCAAAGAGTATTTATAAAAATTATTCAGTGACAAATATAAATAGGACATTTGAAAATTATCCCGCATGTGTTTCTTTTGAAAGAAAAATCGTAATTTATTTTAAGAAGAAATAACGACTATTTCTAACCTAAGGGATGAAGTATGAAAGGATGAATTGTGAAGTGTAATGATAAACGGAAAAATAAAAGTGTCCAGGGTAGCCTAGTGGACATGGCATCTGCCCAGTAAAAGGAACACAGTGTGTTCGATTCCCATCCCTGGACACTTTTATTTTTCCGTTTATCATTACACTTCACAATTCATCCTTTCATACTTCATCCCTAAGGTTAGAAATAATCGTTATTTCTCCATAAAATAAATTTCGATTTTTTCGTTCAAAAAAAACACATGCGGGATAATTTTCAAATATAGTTTTACAACCATAAGCCGTATTATATTGTATTATAAATAACAACAGTGTATTTACAATAATAATTAAGTTACAAATATAAATTACAATGCACTAGCGCGCCACCTGTTATCAAATTACGAAACTATTTCAGACGCGTAAAATTCCTTTTAAAATAAAACAAAGCATCAGTATCACTATAAAAGGAAGTTCCAAAAATACAATATAACAGCGGTATGGTAGAAGAAACTGGCGAAACCGCTGGGAGGGTTTAACACTGATGAGCTAGGCCCTTCCATTAATTTTTCCATTGCAGTAAGGGCAGTAGAAATTGTTAAATTTTAAAAAGAATCATACGCGTCTATAATAGTTTCGAATTTTCATAACAGATGGCGCGCTAATGTAACAGAAGATAAAAATTTAAGTTGATCTCTCATAAATTAAATTTATAAATTCAATATTGCCATTTATCGATATAATTTGTAACAATCAAATTTACTGATAATTGTGTTTTTAAATTCAATCCAGTTTATAAAATACTTTTATCGAAAATTGTTTATAGCATTTTACATCAGTGATATAGATGGGGTTTGTTTAATGTGTACTCTGTCACAATTGGGACTCAGGACTATAAAGATAGAAGGAGTCCTACAGACGGACTTAATCCAGGCAGAGTCCAATGAAGACAACGTTATTGGAGAAGACTGGACTCGCTTCACTGCTCACGGACCCTTCTCTCTTAATAACACTCCAGTCCGGAAATAAAATGTGGACTAACAGACCTTATTGCTTGGACTTTTATCTTTTATGTTACCTTTATTTATATATATATTGTTTTAAAAATAGAACAATCCAATAATTATATTTAATTAAAAAGACATATATTGGATCAAAATATCATTTATTTTACCAATATTTCAGTTGGCTGAACGCCAACCTTTATCAAGGTATTATAACATATTTAATGTGTGTTAACAACAAACTCAATGCCACATATATTTCCATTTTTTTCTCCCCATTGAATATAGCAAAATAATTTTAAAACTTAATTTTATTGACGTTATGTGGCGCTGAGTTCGTTGTTGACACACATTAAATATGTTATAATATCTTGATAAAGGTTGGCGTTCAGCCAACTGAAATATTGGTAAAATAAATAATTTTTGATCCAATATATGCTTTTTTAATTAAAAATGTATATTATAAATAGAAAAAAGAGATTTCTGTTCATTTTTATTATCTTGAGAATTATGCAGTCGTGGTTAAAATCTTGAAAGTATAATAATAAAAATAGTTTTGATCAGTAATTGCTTTAATTGAACTAAAGGAATATATAAAAACATAATTTGATAAAAGTACTGCCTTAATTAAGGCGTAAGAATAAAAAATGAAAAACTTATTTACATAATGTATAAAAGGTTTGAGCCGGCCATCGGGAAACAACAATGAGTTTTATTTAGGGGAAGCGTGACCTCTGGCGGTCGATTTAACAGAATATTTGTATCCATGAAATATAATTTTATATAAATCGACAAAATCAACTCTTCAATATAATTACTTAAATAAAATAATATTTTAATAATATATATATATATATATATATTTTATTCAATTATATTTTCCCTTGTAACATGGCCTATTGTATTTATAGTAATATGTTAACACAAGAAATAAGGAATATTTCTCTCAGATTAATGTAATTTGATAGGAAACTGGATCCTTACACGTTTGTTCTCTCATTGGACTTGACTTAATCTGTAACTGGATATTTGTATAGGAGTTGTATTCATCCAATATAGATTTCAGGATATTTCTGTGCATATATAATATAATGTATATTTCAATATTATATTTGAATTATTATTTCAAATGTACAGTTATACCTCTGTCTATAGCGCCCCCTCTTGGGACTCACCAAAATAGGGTGCCATAGAGAGGGTGCGCTATAGACAGTTCACTTTTAATGTACAGTTAAACCTGTCTATAGCGCCCCCTATTGGGTCTCACCAAAATAGGGTGCTATAGACAAGACACTTTTAATGTATAGTTAAACCTGTCTATAGCGCCTCCTCTTGGGACTCACCAAAATAGGGCGCTATAGAGAGGGGGTGCTATAGACAGGTCACTTTTAACTTACAGTTAAACCTGCCTAGGGCGCTCCCTCTTGGGACTCACCAAAATAGGGTGCTATAGACAGGTCACTTTTAATGTACAGTTTTAAACCTGTCTATAGCGGCCGTTCTTGGGACTCACCAAAATAGGGTGCTATAGACAGGTCACTTTTAATGTACAGTTTTAAACCTGTCTATAGCGGCCGTTCTTGGGACTCACCAAAATAGGGTGCTATAGACAGGTCACTTTTAATGTACAGTTAAACCTGTCTATAGCGCCCCTTGTTGGGACTAACCAAAATAGGGTGCTATAGAGAGGGGGTGCTATAGACAGGTCACTTTTATTGTACAGTTAAACCTGTCTATAGTGCCCCCTCTTGGGACTCACCAAAATAGGGTGCTATAGAGAGGGGGTGCTATAGACAGGTCACTTTTAATGTACAGTTAAACCTGTCTATAGCGCCCCCTCTTGGGACTCACCAAAATATGGTGCTATAGAGAGGGGGTGCTATAGACAGCTCACTTTTAATGTACAGTTAAACCTGTCTATAGCACCCCATTTTAGGACTCACCAAAATAGGGTGCTATAGAGAGGGGGCGCTAAAGACAGGTCACTTTTAATGTACAGTTAAACCTGTCTATAGCGCCCCCTCTTGGGTCTCACCAAAATAGGGTGCTATAGACAGGTCACTTTTAATGTACATTTAAAGCTGTCTATAGCGCCCCCTCTTGGGATTCGCCAAATAGGGTGCTATAGAGAGGGGGTGCTATAGACAGGTCACTTTTAATGTACAGTTAAACCTGTCTATAGCGCCCCCTCTTGGCACTCACCAAAATAGGATGCTATAGAGAGGGGGTGCTATAGAAAGGTCACTTTTAATGTAAATCGCATCGTACTACGTGTTTAAAATCGGGCGCTATAGAGAGGGAGGTGCTATTTAGAGGGGGCGCTATAGACAGGTATAACTGTATATGTTATATAGAAATTATATCTTAATATCAATTAAATTAAAATTCCCAGAACAAATTACTCTGTTTATATTTACCACCAGAGGTCATGACTTTCCATATATCAAATCTATTGTTGTTGTTTTCCGTTGGCCGGCTCATTTTGTAGATATGTAAATAAATATTTTGTTTACTTTATTCTACTCGTCTTAAGTCAGGCAGTGTAACTTTCTCAATTTATGTTTAAATATGTTTAATAATCTAAATTAAAGCAATATTGATTAAAATATTTTTGTTATTCGACCACGACTGCAATCCCAATCATGAATTCCATTCCTTAAAAAACTTGGCAAATTCAATTCTCTATATTAAACAATTTTATATCGTTACAATACATAAATATATGAAATATAGAAACTTTTATAGACGCGTAAGATTCTTTCTAAATTTAAACAATTTCTACTGTCCTTACTGCAATGGAATAATTAATAGGAGGGCCTGGCTCTTCAGTGGTGAACCCTCCCAGCGGTTATATTAAATTTTTGGAACTTCCTTTTATAGTTATACTGATGCTAGATTCTTGGAATGGATATTTTAGATGAACTATGGACATAAGCTTTGAGGACAGTAGAATTACATATAATTATAAATATATATATGCTTCGAGCAATCGCTCTTCCGCAAACATCAAATTGATTTTTCCATTGCAGTAAGGACAGTAGAAATTGTTTAAATTCAAAAAGAATCTTACGCGTCTACGTTTCTAATTTTCATAACAGATGGCGCGCTAGTGCGCATCGTAACATATATATATTAAAAATAATTTTAAAAATACATATCCTGACCAGGAGCACATGTGCTTTTCAGGAGGCAGAGCGCCATACTTACAATCCCCAAGAATCCAGCCAAGTGAGCAGCGACGTGCCGTAGCATTCATCCGCGATGTCTGCCACGTTTATTTTTGTACAGTTTTTATAGATGGATGAATTTGCATATTTACATTATAACACACGCTTAACATATTTACATACTTATTTTGTCGAAAATAAATTATACATCGTTTAGTTGATTTATTTTCCACCAGATGGCGCTCTCTCTCTGTCATCTAACATGCTCATGTGAGTGTAGTCAGGATATACCTCTTTTGTTTTTAATTTAAAAAAAAATTAATATTCATAATATATATACCAGGTCTATTAGTATGAAACGCGAAATTTTTCAGTGAATTCAAAAGTTCACCAATTCCATACAACAAAACATTTTTTATTCAAAGTAACTGCCCTGATTAGCTATACACTAGGACCACTTTTCAGGCAATTTTCGAATTCCTTGTCTGAAAATTTCTAGTCCTTTTGAGTCGAACCAGTCAACAAGTCATTTTCGGAGTATGTCTGAGTTCGAAAATTCCTGTTTTTTTAGGGCGTGTCCTAAAGATGTAAAAAGGTGGTAGTCCGACGGTGCTAAGTCTGGTAAGTACAGCGGGTGGGGTTAGAGTCCCCAGCCCAAGTCTTTTATGGTGTTTTTGACCACCGTAGCGTTGTGGGCTGGAGCGTTGTCATGCTGCAGTATCAGGTTGTTGTGCCTTTCACGCCATTCCGGTCTTTTTTCATTCAACGCCTCTCTCAAACTGTGCATTTGTTGTTCGTAGCGACTAGTATTGACCATTTTGCCAGGTTTCAGGAGCTCGAAATATACTACGCCGGTCTGGTCCCACCATATGCAAAGCATTGCCTTTTTTCGAAGCGAGTGGGCCTAGGCGTCTGTTTTGGAAATTGGCTGGGCAGGCCCCACGACTTTTGGCGCGTAGGATTGCTGA